TCCAAATTATTCACCCAACAAGCCTATTGCCAGTATTTTTGTAAACATTTGCTTAAGTGTTCAAAAAAAAAAAATCAAAATAGATATTTTTGTGGTTTCAGTTGCATTTTACTGCTGAATAGAATACACAACTTCAGTGTGACGTTCTAAAGCTCATAAATAAAATTGCTATCTACTTCCATATGTTTCTGGAGAAAAATAAGTTATGCCCTAGGTTAAAAAAAATCAGATTTAATGGCGAAGGTGGCATTTCAGCAGTGGCACATGCACCAAGACCAAAATGCTGAGCTAATAAATGTTTGGGATGAATAAATTTCCCACAAGCATTTTGAGGTAGAGTAGGCACAGCTTTTAGTTTTAAAAGTGACCGCAAAGGAAACAAGTTGATCCAAAGTGACATATTTGGGAGGCTCAATTTGCCTGAAATATACAGATCGCAGCCACAAATAAATTACACATCTGCTCAAGCAGTCTCTCAGACATTCCTTTCTACCAAGGCACAGAAACTAGAGTAACTGAAAAATGTGGAGATTTAGGGGGATTTTTTTTGGAACTTGGTGATCCCTTCCAGCTCTGTGACTGGTGCTATAAGAGGCCAACTCTCTGATTTACCAAATTGGGTTGACTTTTGTGATGGAAGGATGAGAAGAAAAGAAGAAGAAAAGAAGAAGAAAAAGACTTTCAAGAAAAGATGGGATTGTCATTTGTCAGAAATGGTGTAGGGTCTCCTGCTTCAGCAGGGGGGGAGGGTTCGACTAGATGACCTATAAAGTCCGTTCCAACTCTATTAATCTGTTTTTTAAAAAGTACAGTATCTGGTGAGGAACTATATGAGAGAAACTCAAGAGAGGAATCCTGGTTTTTCCCATCCATTCATTCACCAGGATACTGATCTCTCTGCTGCATCAGCAGTGGTATTAAAACAAAACACAAATGTAACTATCATAGTATTCTTTTCCAAGATAGCTGACAACAATCCAGATATTTTGTACATTTGCTTAGAAATTGCCCTATTATGATCCAAGGGCAAGAGGAGCATCACACCAAGAGATTATCTAACAGAGAGGACTGTTTTTCTGGTAAATGCAATGTGAGCTATTCTAAGGACTTTGCAAGTCTTGCAAAGATCAGTCTTTGCAAGATTCAGGCATCATAACCTTGATTTATTAGTGATTATTTCAGGGGAGGGGGGAAGGCTCAGCTTATCAAGCAATTGCTGCCTCAGCATAGTTTTAAAAAGGAGCCCCTTTGCTCTGTTTTATCCTAGCATCTGAAGGTAATGATGTATGACCAGAAAGCAGAGTTCAGAGTTAACACCCCCACCCTAACGACAGAGAAGAGCAAGAGAGGGCAGAAAGAGTCCACCCTGAGAGGCTGTTAGAACGAGAGGAGCAGTGATAGCTGATGAGATGTGTCATAACATCTGCAAAGTGAGCAGATGGAAAACATCTGCTTTTCACCAGATCTTCGCTTAAAAAAAAAAAACAGAGAGGGGAGAGAGAAAGAAAATAAAGCAAGCTTGGAGTAAACTTTTCTGGATTGACTGCCAGCATCTGACCCACAGTGGGGACTTTTTCTTCTTGAATTTATGATCTTGTGTCTCATCATGTCATGACATCATCTGATATGATGAATTTTAGGCAAAATGCATTTACATCTCCTTGGAAGCCAGAAGAAGACACTCCTGCCGCAATGGGTCAGCTCCCCAGACTGTCTCCCCCACTCATACATTTCTGAGAATTACTCAGCACATCTGCCATGGATAAGGCCAGCGGAAGCTGCTGCCTCCTTCCCTCCCAGGCTCAACTGGATCTAAAAATGGGATTCTTTCTTTCTCTTTGTAACATTGGCCGTTGTGTCTTCATGCCCCACTCTGAATCTGCAAAACAGACCGACGTATTTGGGATTATAAAAATGATTTATTTTCTCATTCTCTTGGCAGTAAAATACAAACCTTCTGAGACTGGGTGGGAATCTGAAACACCACTGCTTCATCACTTACTAAATAACTTGGCATCTGAAGGGAAATAGAATGAAGCATTTGATGCAATTGTTACTTAAGACAGAGATCATGCAGTCCAAAAAGGAATCTGGAGAGTTCACCCAGATCTATAAAGGAATAAGCGGCTCTAAAATAGCAAGATTTTGGTGACTTTTCTGAACCTTACTTCCATATCAGAGGGGGGTTTCAGCAGGTTCTGACCAGTTCTGGAGAACCGGTAGCGGAAATTTTGAGTAGTTCGGAGAACCGGTAGTAAAAATTCTGACTGGCCCCGCCCCCATCTATTCTCTGCCTCCCAAGTCCCAGCTGATTGGGAGGAAATGGGGATTTTGCAGTATCCTTCCACTGCCATGCCCACCAAGCAATGCCATGCCCACCAAGCCACACCCACAGAGCTGATAGTAAAAAAATTTGAAACCTACCACTGCTTCCATATAACAAATAAACCTGGAGAGAATGATAAAGTCCTGACAATACTTTTTTTTCTTTCCATAGCTATAATTGCACAAATACACAATACCATCTAAAAACAGAAGAAGCATCCCTCAGTCATACTCTAAATAATTAACATCCAGTATTCAAATTATTATTTTTTTAATAAAGTCATAAGCTGATGAGTAATGCCAGGTTTTCTTGAACCAGATTGACATTTGGATCCTTTCTAGTTTTAATTCAAACCTAAGGTTTTGGGCAGGAAACAGTCATGCTATCAGCATAGGAGCCTGATACCTGACAACAGAGTTACCAAGAGTTTCTCATCCGCTTTTGATCATATCAATCTTAACACTCCTATTTGATATATGACTAGTTCAGCATCATTCAGTGATGATTCTGACCCTATTTGACTGAACATTGATCAAAAGAAAAACTGTAAGGTATTATCTGGCCTGTAGCACCATATCTTCTCATTACTTTTTCTTATCCTACTACTGTAATTGGGTTAGGAATTCCTAAGGTAGGATTGTGTATCATCCTGTGTTTTGTCTTTCTTTGTCAACTGATATGTCTCTGTTTATCAACTGATGTGTCTCTATGAAAGTCTCCAGCAGTTCTGTGGGCACAGGGAGGGAGTAGATATCAACAAAAATGTTGAGTATTTCACTTCTCAGATGTTATGATCATCATAGACTATCTATTCAAGAGGGACTAGAAGGTCAGACTGTAAGACAGTGACTGATAATCACTAAATTGTGGAGGACAGTTTACTCGAGCATAGTTGTTGTTTCTCTTAGTAGCTGGCTTTCTGAAATCCTACAGCATCCTTCCCTAACCATGGACACCTTCAAAATACGAGGACTTCAACACCCAGAATTCCCCAGACAGAATGGTTATTGCTGGAAACATCTCTTCTCTTTCCTCTTTCTACATAGAACTTTTATAACAAAGGGCAGCCTACAGTGTGCAGTCACTGAAGTCCAAAACAGAACTTTAGCACTATGGTACTAAGCTAAAATGTGGTTTGTTTGATTTTGGATTAACATGGTGCACAAACACAGTTTACTGTGGTTTAAATAACCATGAGGTATGGTTTAGTGTGATAATTTAATGCATAAATTCTGGTTACTCAATGAATTATGGTTAAGGCAGCTTGAATTTAGTACAATGTGCAAATCAGACAGAGAGTCCAGTTCATCAAACTGGTTTTATGTAAACACCTGGCTGTCTTGCTAGAGAGACCAATTATTGAGGGGGCAGGCTGATTCTAAATGTATGTCCAATTGCTTTATTCATAAGCAGCCAGCAAAATTAAAAATCAGCATAATTTCATTATTCTAAATTCAAGCAAAGCAAATAGAAATAACTGCAGTTTCCCAGGAAAGCTTCCATTCTCAGGCATGGTAACTTTCCTGGGAAACTGCAGTTATTTCTATTTGCTTTGCTTGAATTTAGAATGATGAAATTGCATAAAATTAGAGAGGGATCCAGTGTGTAAAATGCATGGCATCAAATGAAGAGGGGGGGGAGTTCCTTAATGATGGGAAAGCTTTATAGCACTTGGGTTATTATGTGTAGCATGGAGCTATTTGTGGAAGAAAAGTTGTTGTACATTTTTGGTTGTTTAAAAAATTGATTTCCTCTACTATATAAGTAGCTTAATAATTTTTAGCAAATGTTTCATTTCAGAACATTTTCCAGTCAGGTTATGGCATTCTAACATTATAACTAGCATTATAACTATTCTGTGATAAGCTTTACATAGATTCCCAATAGTTAGGCATTATATTCTATATGGCTGATTGGTAAACATAAAGATAAGGGAGTCCCTGTGGATTTTACTCCACTAGTCATTGCCAACTACCAAGAAATATTCTGGGTTTGGAACATAAGGGAACCAGTATAAGAGTGTTGGGCATATCTCAAGCACTGTAACTTGGCACAGTGGAATAATACCTGTGGCTGAGAAGTTGGAGAATTATTAATAACCCTCAATTTACAACCATAATTGGGACTGGAACTTCCATTGCCAAGTAAGACAGTTAAGTGAGTTGTGCATGATTTTATGACCTTTTTTACCATGATTGTTAAGCAAAGCACTGCCATTGTTGAGTGAATCCAGCTTTCCCCATTGACTTTGCTTGTTGGAAGCCAACTGGGAAGGTCACTAATGGCGATCACATGACCCCAGGATGCTGCAGTCATCATAAATACATGCCGGTTGCCAAGTCCCCAAATTTAGATCACCTGACTGGGGGGATGCTAGGATAGCCGTAAGTATAAGGACCAATCTTAAATCACTTTTCTTTAGTGCCATTGTAACTTTGAAGAGTTGCTAAACTAATGGTTGTAAATTGAGGATTACCTGTATTCTATATTTGATTGGTCAATGTTGTGAATTGGTATAAAGAAAATCATAAGGTCAGGGATAAAGAAGTTAAGTTTGAATTCTGACTTAACCATGGCGCAACTGTGGATCTGTCACTGTTTCCCAGGATTGTCATGAAGATGACAATGGCCTTATGTGTACCGCCCAATGTAGAAGTAAGGAGCTGCTGTGTATGGCCACAAAGTCTTTATTGAAACTTGAAAACATGAATCACCAAAATCTGGTGAAAAAACCACTAATTTTTTGATACAAGGAATTTTTTTTTTGTATATATTTTAAATAAAAACCAAAATAGTGCACCTTAACATTAAAAAAAAAACATAATTTCAAGCATACAAAATGAAAGGGGAGAGGAGGAGAGCCCAAAATTCTGGCCTTATCCCCCACCCCCACCCCTCTTCTGTTTGAGGCTGAAAATACGTGTTAAAAATCCTCTTCTCCTATTCTGCCGAAAAAGCAAAATAGAAATGTATTAATATCAATGTTGATTCTAAAAATCTTTCCATGTAGCCATAATCCAACACAGATTCCTCCAAAAAAGCCGCATATCTGGCACTCTGCAGGGAATTGAATTGGCTTCTACACCTTTTTTCTTGCACAGCCTCGTTTTCACCATCTCCTGGGGAGGAAAACAATCATCAGTTCATGCACTGGTTCATGACCTCCAGGATTTTCAAGACATTATTAAATTTTTGCAGATGAATTGCATCTATCACAGGGAACTTCTGGCTGAGTGTTTGACCCAAATATAGCATTCTAACTAAAGACACAAAGGGCTCTTTTTCCCCCTGAAATTCTGGCTCATTTCCACTTCTCTCCCAGGTCAATAAACATGGTGAATATATAAACACAAGAGTTGCTGGACTGAGTTTCCACAACAAGATAAAGGGGGAAGCAGCAGTAAAAAAAAAAAAAAAAAAAAGCAGTTCCTGCTCTCATATTTCAGAGAAAAAAGTTTATGCAACCTCAATGCATCAGTGCTGTTGTTGTTGCCTTACAAATTAGCTCCACAATATAAATTAGCCATAGCTCAAACAAGTAATACTTCTTAGGTTACATTACGCTGGCTTCTAGAGTTGCAGAGGCAGTACAATAAATCCTTGTCAAGTCACACAAATTCTCCACATTCCAGGACTTCCCAGTCTGTGTCAAATCTCTCTCTCTCTCCCTCTCCCTCTCTCTCTCTCTCTCTCTCTCTCTCTCTCTCTCTCTCTCTCTCTCTCTCTCTCTCTCCCTCCCTCTCTCTCTCCAGTGTTTCTCAACCTTGGTAGCTTGAAAATGTGTGGACTTCAACTCCCAGAATTCACCAAACAACATTCTGAGAGTTGAAGAACACACATCTTCAAGTTTCCAAACTTGAGAAATACTGATCAAGAGACACTTAAGCAACATGCCCAAAAAATGAACAGTAGGACCTGATCTATGACACCCATAATAGGTTCTCCCACTATTTTTGTTCGTTTGTTTGTTTCTGCCTCTTCCTTCAGCTTGTGGATAGAATGCAGTGTTGGAATCAAACTAAAAGGGCATAATCGTTCTTATGTTGCTCAACCATCACAGTGGACTTCTCACAAACTTTTTAACTTGGCCAGGCTGGTAGGAACCCATTATTGAGAAAAAGCATGAGTCATAATCTCCAGTCATAATTTCAATTTAGTAATGAATCTCATGCATGATCTAAGCTGGAGTCATAACATCACATCACACTACGCCATAATGTAGTTTATGCTTTGATTGTGTGCAACATATGAATCCATCATTGTGCTTTGTAAATCATAGTTTATAATTTAAATGAAAAAGGTTTTACAATATATTAGTTATTTAACAGGAGATATGCTTCCAATCTACAATGTCTATGGAAATTTGTAGGGGGAGAAATGAGGTTTTAGTGTTTGTTATATATTAACTTGGAATAATTATTTCTGGAGGAAATTATTTCTTTGTCCATATTAATATTTTGAATTAGCTGGATTAAAATATCGGTATGAATAGAAGGTTAATTATGCCTATGTGCCTGTAGGGAATTTTCTAAATGTTGCTGAAGGAACATTGTAGGAGATGATCAAATGGAGGTCAAGGGTGGGGTCAAAGTCAAACACATTATCAGTCTGGAATCCCTACACCATCGAAAGACAACTTAGTCCAGCCTCCTTGAAATCCATTGACTGTTATCACAGCAACTGTTAATAGATCAGGCTCTTGTGTATAGGCTGCATGGAATAAAATTGCCATGTTTTTGAATTCTATCCTAGCTCCTGGTTTCTTGTGGCTGGTATCTGAGGAGCTGTCTCACCCCAATGGGACTAGCCCACCTCACTTGCCCCAGTGGAAGAAGCCTGCTACCAACCTCATCCGCCAAGAATTCTGGTGGGCAAGGTCAAGGAGACCCCAACCCTGTAGCATTCTCTATCACTGGGATGAGAGCTACTCCCACCCTTTTGGTCTTCTGGAAGAGCATTAAAACTTGGTTTTGTTGGGTTGGGTTGGTCCCTTAGAGGGGGGTGTCACCACTGGATGTGATTGATGGGGTAACCTTCATCTCTATACCATCAATCTCCTGGGTTTGTTTGTTTGCATAGTTTAACTTTTTAAATTTGCATATTTTTAGCTTTTTCACTATTTTTCTATTTATTTTTTTATGATCTGTAAACCATCCAGAGGGATGCGGTGGCTCAATGGCTAAGACACTGAGTTTTTCGATTGAAAGGTTGGCAGTTCAGCGGTTCAAATCCCTAGTGCCACGTAACGGGGTGAGCTCCCGTTACTTGTCCCAGCTTTTGCCAACCTAACAGTTCAAAAGCACGTAAAAAATGCAAGTAGAAAAATAGGGACCACCTTTGGTAGGAAGCTAACAGCGTTACGTGCACCTTTGGCAATTAGTTATGCTGGCCACATGACCACGGAGGCGTCTTTGGACAGCACTGGCTCTTCGGCTTTGAAACAGAGATGAGCACTGCCCTCTAGAGACGGGAACAACTAGCACATATGTGCGAGGGGAACCTTTACCTTTACCTTAAACCATCCAGAGTTTCCTTAATGGAGAAATAAGGTAGCATGTAAATTTAATAAATAAATAAATAAAAGTTTATGTGATAATTAAATTAGGGCCATCATGTTCTTCTTCCTTTCCAAATTCAAAATAAATAAGTAAAAGGTATGGGTGGGGAGGAGTAATGTTCCCTTTCCAACATCAAATATGTATATATAAAACTCACCAGTTCTACATTGTACCACCTTTTCACAATGAACTTTTATGACTCCTTATATCAATTCTTTATTTTAAAAAATTAAGCATCTTGTCAAAATCATAGATTAGAGTCTCCCATATGGTCGAGGTTTAATTTGTGATGTATGAAAGCGACTGTGTGGCTTTTATTTATGCATCATAACATTTTGTGTGTTATGCATACATACAGTATAGGTTTCTTTTTCTTTCTTTCTTCTCGTTATTTTATTAAACAGGTTTTGTATATTATTCTGATTTTTTTATTTTTCTCGGAGGGGGGGGATGTTGGTTTTTTGTTTTTCTGCCTTTGAGTGGCAACTGACTCTGGACCAATCCCTGCAGGTTTCTTAGCAAGATTTTGGAAGTGGCTTTCAATTGCTTTCTTCCTTAGGGCAGAGAGAGAGAGAGAGAGAGAGACTGATCCAAGGTCACCCAGATAGTTTGGTGCTATGGAAAACTATCCCCAGTGGTGAAATCTAAAATTTGTTACTACCAGTTCTGTGGGTGTGGCTTGGTGGGAAGGGGGTAATGTGACTGGGTGGGCATGGCCAATTTTTTTTTTTTACTTTAAAAACCATTTTTTCTACAACCTCTTCGGCGAAGAAGTTGTTAAAAAATGCTTTCAAAAGGCTCTGATGATCCCAGCTGAGCTGCCTGATCGGCAGAGGCTTTTTAAAAAGGGGTTTTTTTTCTTTTAAATGCCTCTGACGATCCCAGCTGAGTTGCCTGATCAGCAGAGGCTTTTTTAAAAACTCAGCTTGGATCGTCAAGAGGCATTTAAAAGAAAAAAAGGGTTTTTTTCTTTTAAAAGCCTTTGACAATCCCAGCTGAGCCGCACGATCATCAAGGCTTTTTTTTTTTACTTTTAAAAGCATTTTTTCAGCCGAAGAGCTTGTAGAAAAAATGCTTTTAAAAGTAAAAAAAAAAAAAAGCCTCTGATGATTGTGCAGCTCAGCTGGGCATGGGGCGGGGCTGGGCATGGGGCGGGGCAGGGATTTTTGCTACCAGTTCTCCGAACCACCCACCTTCATTGTTACCGGATTGGGTGATCCAGTCTGAACCGGGAGCATTTCACCCCTGGCTATCCCCCTCCTAGAAGAATGAAATATTTTGAGAAATATCTTTAAAAGGCAGGATAAAATATTTCCCCTAAAAGAGAAATAAAAATCTTAAGGGAGACAGAAACTCAGAGCCCCAGCTCCCTGCCCCCCCACCCAAGCAGATGCTGAGCTGGGGCAGCTTTAGAAATGCAGGTTTGGTAATCCATTACTCCCTGCAGCAAGGTCTGAAAAAAGATAGAATTAACCCACTACCATGTAGCAGCAAAGCTGATTGCATTGCACAATCTCCTAAGGCCATTGCATCATCCTCCAAACTTCAACCAAACTTAGCTCAGACAACGTACAGAGCCAGCTATGACCACTACAACAGCCAATAGAATACATGTTCTTGTACAGGAACAGGAAGCTCAAATTCAAAGCCCAAGAGACGGTTTAAAAACCCCTCACCCTTAACTCCATATAGTTAGCTGCCCAGAATCACACATGTGCTTCTGCTTCATCAATATAAATGGACCCTCTTTCCAATCAGCCTCCAGCCTCCATTTTGTCTCCAGTGCCTTTCTCTCAGCTTGGAACTAAACCAGATGGATATTTCTTCCAACAGTGCCTAAGGTGGAAGTAGAATGTCTCCTGGTTTCTGGCCTGATGCCTTAACCAATACACCAAACTGTTTCTTTGTCCATATTATGGCTATTGTTTAAAAAGAACAAAGAGAAAATCCATCTAACTGTGATTTGCTCGATAGATGATGACTGCAAATGTTGATTTAGTACACACTTTTGCTATTATAGCTTGATACAGGAAACTTTAATTCCAATATGTTTTGGGATCTGCTAGAAGAGGAACTTAACAGCTGTGCTATCTTATTCAGCTCTGTGGTTAGGATTAGGAGTGCAGTGTCAATCATATATGTCTACTAAAGAATATTTTTCTTAATTTAGCAAAAATATACAGTAATATCAACTGTTTCAGGTCATTCATTTCTGGAAAAAATATTCAGGATAATGAGATGAGGGATAACTATTATTTTGGACAAAATAGGATGGTCCTGAAATTGCATATACTGTAAATATTCTTTCAGAGAAAGAAATCTAAAACAAAACTTTAGGCTAAATATTTTTGAATAAGATCAGGGTGTGTAAAGAGGCCTAGTCTATGTTTGTTTCCTTCCACAAGAAAATAAATCAAATGAATATTAATTTGCTATATAGTATCTTTAGCAGGCATGCTTAAATCAACATGACAATCAGAGATGCATATATATCAGTCAGAAAGTCTGAAGTTAAGCACACTAAGGTGCTTAATATTAGTAATATTAGTAATATTATTAATATTAAATGCTTTAGCTTAATTAAAGAACATAAACTTAAATTTAAAGTTACCTTTTCTCTTACATTAAAAAATTGTTTTATGTGTTTAAAAGGTTGCCAGGTGCTAAGATTATAAATGATTAATTGCATATGAATGTATATAATGACCATAACTGTCTTCCATCTCTGTCAGTATGGTACACATTAGTTATGTCTAATTTGGCATAACAAAATGATACATGATCTGGTATCTAAGATTACCTTCTGACTGCAAACTATTGAAAACAACATTTTTCCTCTCTGACTCTTCTTCCTCCTCCTTCTTCATCAGTTATACTTCAACGCCCTATTGAGACTCAGAATCCCTTTACAATATTTTAGATCAAGATTATATATTTATTAAATTTATATAGAAATAGGGTAGATTTTTTTTCTATGAATACTACAATCTGCATAAGGTTGCAAGGAATATTGCTAAACAAAAAATTTTCCCATTACATAAGAGTAAGAATTTTCCTCCATGAATGGCAGGTTTAAAAGTTCACAAAATAAAATCAAAATATCCTAATTTAAGGGCAGCAATGTATCTTTATCATTTTTATTGCCACAAAAATTATTTATTATTGTTAAAGCTCTTTCCATCTATAACCAAATAAATCAAACCTCCCTCTCTCCCTCCCTCTCTCCCTCCCTCCCTCTCTCTCTCTCTCTCTCTCTCATCATTTAAAAAGCTTGAACAAGTTAGCTTCTTTGATTAGAGAAAAAAATATTTATATTTATGGTTGACTGGAAATTCCTTATAGATTTTTTTGAATAAAATGGGGAAAAAATGCACTTATGTTTTGTGGTTTTGATGGCTAGAAAAAACTAAATAATTGAAAAAGTGAGTTTTCTTTTGTAATCATAGAGTAAGAGGCAGTGGTGAAATTCAGCCAGTTCTATCTGGATCGTGCAATCTGGTAGCGCCGGTGGCGGGAGGCTTGGCCCCCCTCTCCCAGATGTCATCACGTTCCAGTTTTGACCCTCTGCGCATGCACAGAAGGCTCTGTGCATATGTGGAGGAGGTGTGCGCGAGCTTAGCAATCCTGTGCGATCACTCACATTTGCGAACAGGTAGAAAAGGTAAGTGAATACCACCCCTGGTAAGTAGGGTTGCCAGGTGTCCACTATTTGAGCGGACAGTCCACTTTTTTCACATTATGTTCACTATTTTTTTTTCACAAAATAGTGGACATTTTTTTTATTCAAAAGCTTTATGATGAAATGGTACGTAATCTAAACTGTACAGTCTAAGAGAATAAGGATAGGAGAATCGCGTTTTGTCTTTTTTTTCATACGTTAGAATGAGACAAAGATCGAATGCTCATTGCAATAATCACATTTTACACAACAGCGCAAAAAATGCATTAAAGCAGTTATCTTTTGATATCGAAAATGTAGTGCTGAAGGTTTTTGCTGAATTTTTGAATTCTGCGAAGAAATGAGAAGAGTTGAAATCATTTTTTGAGTTTTGGGAGTCAGAATTCCATGAAGTTTTGCGTCATGTTCCAACACGTTGGTTAAGTTTGTTTAAAGTGGTCGAAAGACTTCTTTTAAACTGGATACCTCTAAAATCGTATTTTATTTCTCTTGGATCTGATGAGTGCCATAAGGTTATCTGGAACCTTATTTCGGATCAGGAAAATGAACTCGCAAAGGAGGATGAACCAACAATTTCAGAATTGTATTTATATTTCATGCACTTCTTCATGTCAATAATGCAAGACAGCCTACTGAAGCTGGAAAGCAAGAAAATTCTTGCACGTGATCTTCACATTATCATGTGTAAGCTGCGTGATTCTTTGCAAAAAAAATACGATGAGCAGTTTTTTGGAATGAAAGTTTTATTTGCCTTATGTAAAAAACATTTGCCTGAGAATGCCGTGCAAAAGTTCAAGAAAGAAGCCATCAATGTGTATCAAAGAGCCATTGCATACCTAGAAAAGTGGTATAATTTCACCGATTCAGTATATGAGACACTAAATTGTTTCAATCTAATTGATCGCAATAATCCTCCAACTTTAGAAGAAATGACGAACATCTGGTTATTATCACCATGGCGAGAAGAACTTCCACCCAACATTCTCTTCGATGAAATTTCTGCCTTAGAAGAAGTTTATGTTCATCTGCAGGGCGATTCATCCCTTGATAAGTGGATGTACTTTTTCAAGAAAGAGCCAGCTCCGAGTTTACTGAAACTATTCCAGTATTGTACATCAATTCCGGTATCAAATGCAAACGTTGAACGAATTTTCAGCGTCATGGGAAATTTGTGGACTGATGAACGTAACCGACTGCTTGTATCAGTTCGGTGAACTTTGTATATTTTTTAATATTTCTCAACATTGTACTGAAATTAAAGAATTATTCCTTAAACACAAAGAATTGATCAAAGCTGCGCAGTCAAATAAAAAATACACACGACAGCAAAGTAAAATGTAATTTAATATTTTACATATTATAATATATTTGATGTTTTGAATTTTAAGTAAAGTTTTGAAGTGATTATTTTAATACGTGTTAAAATGTTTGTAAGAAAATATATAATTTAATTGTAATTTTTTTAAAAAATTTTTTACTACTTAACACCCACCCCACCCCACCCCCGCTTGTCCGCTATTTTTTGGAAGCAGACCTGGCAACCCTACTGGTAAGAGGTAACTGTAATTGCACTTATATTTGTTGTAAAAAAAATCGGACACCTCTTTTTATTTTATTCTTTTTTCTGCATTTTTGTCTTTTTCTCTCTTGTTTCTGCTTTTCCTTTTTGTTTGTGTTAGTTGTTATGCTCTTGGTAAAACTTTCAATAAACATTTATTTTAAAAATAGACTATATCATAAAAATGTTGTTACTCCATAGAGGATTCCTTCAAACCACAACCACAAAACACTCTTAGTTCAGAATGTTTTTTAGATACTGTGATGTAAACATTGTGTATTGTTATCCATTGCCATCCACAATGTTTTATTTTCATAACTTCTCATAACTAATAAAATAACAGGCTAGAGATCAAGTGTTTTGGCAGCGAAGAGTCACTGGGCTCTCTAACCTAATGGTTCAACTTCAGAGATGGGTGGAATTTTTATAGGGATTTTACTGGCAAAATGACAGGTGTTCAGCTGAGACTCCTAAAGAGTTTTGGCACTGAATCAGGAATGAATCAGGGTATAGATTCAATCATTCCCAAGTATCTTCAGCCAACCTATAAAACCAGAATCAGTCCTGTTTTTTTCAATATTTTGACTGTGTAAACTTATAGAAATGGTGGACTAATCAAACTGAATCTATTAGAATCCATGGCTGGTCCTAATTTATGGTAGTGCTGGATTGTAAGTGCACACACACAGACGTACTGACACCCACATGTGTAAAATATATCTCTGTCAGTATTGCATCTACTGAAAGTTGTCTTATAGATCTTTAAAAAAAAGGACTTAAAATAACCTTTTGCTTTCTGGCCACTGGCCATGTTAATCTTCTCTATATCATGTCAATTTTAGTATATGTGCTGCCATAGCGAACCACATTGATGAATGGATTGTTTTCCTTTCTTCATATGACTTGTAACTCTACATTTTTAATATTTAATGAATGTCAGTGTCTATCTATAATAATTCTATTATTCTGGCACTCTTTTTGGCTCATTGCCTTGACAGATGGAGTAAGAAAACCAATCGGTCAATTCAGCACGAAACAATAGCTTGTCCCATGTTGAAGAAAAATCCCTAAAATGTTTGACAGGTAGAATAGTTATCATGTGGTCTGAATTCTCAATTTGAGAGACCAGTGATTGACATCCCACCTGTAACAACCCTTGAAAGAAACAGATTATAGTATGGCTGTGTTTGGTAATGAAACAGTTGTGGCTGATGATATACAACAAGACCTGTATATACACTGCTAGGAATGGATAGACTTAGGAAGAACCATTCCATAGCAGTTTAGATCTCACCTCAGAGAATGTGGTGCTGGGGAATATCTGCTTGCTGTGGGTATTATTGTCCTTTGGCATTATCCAGAAATCCCAATCTCTTATAGCATTAAGCAGCTTTCTGTAACCATTTGAAAGATCCAGGCTTGGGGTAAGATGCCACTCTTACATTGGTCTCCAACTATATTTTCCACTCCTAGCCTCATCAAAGGACCTGAAGGCAGGACAAGAAGCAATGGATAGAAACTAATCAAGGACAGAAGCAACCTAGCACTAAGGAGAAATTTCCTGACAATTAGAACAATTAATCAGTGGAATGATTTGCCTCCAGAACTTGTGAATGCTCCAACACTGGAGATTGGACAACCATTTGTCTGGAATGGTATAGGGTTCTCTCCCTGTGCAGGGGGTTAGACTAGAAGACATCCAAGGTCCCTTCCAACTCTGTTGTTCTGTTATCTGAGGTGGCTGTAGATATCCTACCTAAACAAACATCTTGGAATAATAGCAACAATCTGAAAAAGAATCAATAAACTGATATCCAAATAAAATGGAAATGTTTGTGAGAAGCAGTAAAACTGATTCAGATTGGCACTTTGGACTCTGGGTGGGCTTACAGTCCTTCTGAAAGAAAAAAACAAGGGAGACTCTCTCCAGCCCAGCTTTGTCTTCGGATGCTCGGCGGTTTGTTCCAGCTTGGGGGAAATTCCTACAGATTACATTGATATTATCAACTGTGGCATTCTGAAGTACATTGACCTAATAAGGGAGATGTTTGTCCTTACCTCATGCCAGTGGTGGGTTTCAAATTTTTTTACTACTGGTTCTGTGGGTGTGGCTTGGAGGGTGTGGCATGGCATGGCATGGCATGGCATGGCATGGCTTGGTGGGCGTGGCTTGGTGGGCGTGGCAGGGGAAGGAGATTGTAAAATCTCCATTCCCACCCCACTCCAGGGGAAGGATACTGCAAAATCCCCATTTCCTCCCTATCAGCTGGGACTTGGGAGGCAGAGAATAGATGGGGGCGGGGCCAGTCAGAATTTTTACTACCAGTTCTCCGAACTACTCAAAATTTCTGCTACCGGTTCTCCAGAACTGGTCAGAACCTGCTGAAACCCACCTCTGCCTCATGCTCAGATTATTGTAATCTAGGATTTCGAAAATAGATAACATCAATTGTGCACATCATCTATGTACAAATCCAATTAATTCTTATCATAACTTATGGTACTGATGATTACCATTATATACCTATTGTCACATGAATCATTTTGTGTATAACACTAGAATGGTCAGGTTAGTCCCCACAAAGAAGTTTCCCTTTTGGTGACTGCCTCTTTATTA